TGCCACTCAGGACGGCAGTACCCCTCAAGAAGGTCTGGAGACACCCGTTCTCGACCAAAACTCAACCGGCAGTCCCTCCCAAACAAAAGTCCCTACTGGCTCACCATGTTAGACAAAACACTCCTCTGGCCCAAACCCTGCGGGAGCAAGTAGCAAAGGATGTCGACAAACTCCGAGCGCAGAAGAATGGCGAGCCTCTTCACCCTGATGAGGTCAACGAGCTTCTTCTCGAACATGCCAAGACTTTCCAGCCGAGGGACCCAGAAGCAGGCAGCTCGGACGCAGCTCCGACAGCACAACCTCTGTGGCGGCTTCATAACCATCGGCAGACCGCACTGCGAAACCTAAAACGTGAGGACGACGTCATAAATAAGATGGCTCGCATCGAGCACCTCAAACAGGCTCAGCGCTCGCTGGACGAGGCAGCCAAGGCACATGCCATCCAGATAAAGAATCAGGCCCGAGAAAGAACTCATCGAACTTTGAAAGAGATTTCTGAGAAGGTCAAACGAGATCCACATGCGGCATATCGCTCCTTAAAGCATGTAGCTCCTTGGTCTCCTGCACCAAGAGTCTGCCTCAGATCGCCATGCGGCCGCATCCTAACTGAGCCTGAGGGACTGGCAGAGTTAAAGAGACATAGTCTTTCCATCTTCTCCTCGCATCCTCCCCTAGCTAGTGGCGTAGGCCAAGCCTTGCCCAAGCTGGACAAAAGTAGTCTGTCCAAAGGCATAGCCTCTATAAAGCCGGAAAAGGCAGTACCGCAGGGATCTGCCCCCGCATCCATGTACCGCCTTTGTGCTTCCACTGTGGCCAATAACTACTGCGACTATCTCGAAGCGGTGCCTCCGCCTCCCGCTCCGACCCATCAGGCGTGCGAGGTCACCTCCTGCCAAGGGAAGCGCGAGCCTCAGCATAACACAGCACCAATGAATCCAGCCGAGCCACCCTCGCTGCCCATAACAGCCAAGTCAGCAGACCTTAGCTTCATACCCAAGCCCTCTAAACCAGCCTCTAAGCCGGAGAACTTGCGACCGCTGGGCATCATTAGGCCAGATGGCAAAGGAATAGCCTCTGAGGCTAGGAGAAGACTTGACCCTCTCTTCAAGAAGGCCCACTTTGCTTCCCCTCAATTTGCCTACATTCCAGGACGCGGTATCGCCGATGCCCAACTCCGGGTAATTGGCCTCCGTGCCATGCTTCGATCCCGAGCACCAGACAGATTCTGCACTCCCAAGCGCACGAAGGGCAAGCCGGACCTAATCGGAGGCTTCACCTTCTCACTAGATCTCTCTCAAGCTTTTGACAAAACAAGCAGAGAAGCTCTTTTGCGCTCACTAATTACTTATGGAGCCTCACCCGAAGACGTCGAGCTGGTTGCATCCCTCCATAGGGAGGCCCAGTATAATCTGCGCTATGGACGAAGCCAGGAAACAGTAACCTCCACAAGAGGTATAAAGCAAGGATGCAAACTGGCCCCCTCCCTCTTCTCCCTGGTCATCACGGAGGCGTTCCGGCTTATGGCCACCCACATAGGGTTCTCTCCAATACAGCAGTTCCTCACAGGCTTCGCAGATGACCTCGTAATTCACCGAGACATCCACAACTGGTCTGATCTCTATGCGGCTCATGACATGGTTAGACTGTTACTGTACTACCTGCAAGAAGCCGGACTAGAAGTGAATTACGCCAAGTGCAACATCATGGTTAAACTGGCAGGTCGCCACGCACAGCAGGCCAAGAAGCTCTTCAAGTCACAGGAGCTTCGCTCAGGCCGGAAGGTCACGGTCTGGAATATAGACGCACCAGAGCAGCCAAGACGGCCAATTCTGCTTTCGCATTCTTCAGTTCTTCCCCCTCTCCCCTCTCTTCCTTCCTTCGAGCTGGTAGACTCCTTCAAGTATCTAGGAGTCATGATCAGCTACTCAAACCCGGAAGATCTTACCTATTCTTTAAGACAAGAGAGAGCGGCGAAGAAAAAGCAGACAGTGCGCAAATTCATTCACAATAAGCGCAGGACAAAAACTGCATCTAGGCTGCTTGTCTGGAGAGCCACCGTCTGGTCCACGGCCACTTTTGGCCTGGAATCCGTTGGTCTCTCAGGTAGGCGGGCAAGGGCTCTCCGCTCATGGCATGCCAGACAGGTGCGAGCGGTAACGCACAACCCTGTGCATAAGACTCGTGAAACTACAGCAGCGCTTTTTGCACGTCTGAAACTTGTCTCTCCCATTCAGCAGCTTCATGATCGCTCCGCCCAGCGCCTAGACTCTCTCCGCAAGCGCCGGAATGCAGCCCCAGCGAGTGCGGTCACCTCCTGCTCAACATCCACGCCGGCCAACGCGAGCTCTCCGCTCCTCACTCAGTCCGGCGCCTGGCCACGTGAAGATATCTTAACTATTCCCTCCACTCTGCAAACGGCGGAGGAAATTGTAGCCTCTTACAGCAAGCTGCTCAGGGAGGCCGACATTGACCCTTCTCCGGACGTGCCCATGCACACATGCTGTGGAAAGGTATTTCGTACTGCGGCGGGCCTGAGAACACACCGGACAGTCAAGCACCCGGCTCCTGTTCCGCCACCCCTTGAATTCTCACGCCTAAAGCACTCCGTGGGAGGCCTGCCTCAATGCTCGCACTGCCAGGCGAAATTTAAAAACTGGCATAATCTACAACAGCACGTTGAGCGCAGAGTCTGCCGACAGGCTGGTTTCAAGCTTTCTAGACCTGAGGCGGCCACTCAGGCTGACGAAGCTCCTTCCAAGGCGAGTGAGGTCTCCTCCAGCCAGGAGCTCGTGCCCTCGTCAGACTGCCGTGCTACTGCCGCACCCTCGGTCCAGCTTACCTTGCAGATGGACACAGTGCCTCTCATTTCGCGTATGCGCACCGAACTGCTGCAACAGGCCGGAACCCAGACCTTCCTCGAGCTCCTCACCGGCCACCTTGGCCAGCAACTCACCAGGACCTGTCTGCTCTGCGACTCGTGGATAGCCTCCACGACAAAAATAGCCTTCCACCTCACAAAGAAACACGGGGCAGAATGGGACTCTTATAAAGCCTCGGCGGGGAATAACACCTCTAAGATGTATGTGCTGACCCGCCTGTCACCCTGTCCTGCCTGCGGAGTGAAAGTGGAGAGCGCCCCCCGACACACGAAGCAGTGCCCGGTCATCCAGCAATTACAACTCTTCTTCTTTCTGCACCCTGACGCCCCTCTTTCCAGAATGCACTCGTCCCTCCAACACACTCAGCTCTCACATCTCTCGCCTCCCACCTCTGGGGTTGGCGCATCTCCTCCTGCGGTCCCTAACCCCGGGCAGAGCACGACAACATCACACCAACACGCATCTCCCACACAGGCTACCCCCCAACCAAAGACGTTCCAGCAGCGGACCCTGCAGGCTCCTAATCCCAGGTCCAAGCAAAGCCAGCTTCAGCGATGGTTTCGCCCAGGGAGTGCCTCCCAGGCTGCACAGCTAGGCGCAGGACCTCCTCAGCCAGCACCGACAGACCTGGATGCCTCTGCTCCGCCACCGCCTCCTGCAGCTCAGCTTATGCCACAATTGATTAATCCTCATAACTTGTGCTACGCCATTTCAGTCTTGCAGATGATTAGCGCTCTGAGGGAAGACCCCTCAGTGGACTGGTCGAACCTCCAACCTCTCCAGCGGGAACTTCGAGCAAGGGCCTCGCACACAGTCTCTATTCTCGCACTAGAATCGCTCCCGCATTGTCATCCAGACTGGAGGCTTGCTAATAGGCAAAGTGATGCACTCGAGTACTTGACGTTCTTGTTGGCTAACCACCATGGCTCCTTACAAGGTACCCCCTGGAAGCGAGTCTATGATGCAGACATACCCGACTCAACTGGCTTCTCCCCCCTTCTACTAACCTTCCCGGAAGGCACCGACCCGACCAGGCTGTCCCAGCCTGACTCCCTAGCGGCGCCCCACTTAGCTTATTCACTGTCCTTTTTTGCGCACGAGTGGCACTCTCCGCATGACTCGAAGGCGGCACTGTTGTATACACCTCCTTATATCTTTGTGTCTCTGCCAAGGTTCACAAATGCCGGAGCGAAGCAGCACTGGAGACTCACGGGCTTGCAGGACGAAGTACAGCTGCCTGCATGGACCGGGCCTCACTCTCAATCCTTTGTTCGCTACAGATCCGTCTCGGGACTCTTTCACATAGGGCGGGAAGCCACCTCAGGTCATTACAGATCCTTCACCTTGCTTCCCTCTCTCCAGGTAGGTGATGACTCCAGCCCAGGCTTCTCGCCTACGAGCGAGGAACGTGCACAGATCGGGTCAGGAGCTTACCTTTTGCTCCTCCAACGCTTAAGTTAAGTCCCGTTCATCTTCGTGTGAGGTCCCCTCCTGAAGGTGAACGGGCAGCGATTTCACTCGTGATACCATGCGTGTCCTCCCCAAGCGCTATGGAGCAAGCCCAGCAGGAGCTGCTGAACAACCCTGCACTATGCCAAGTGCTCTTTAAGAACCTCCCCCATCTTGCCGCTTCATCCATGGCTGCGCGGGCATTTGGCCCTGATGAACGTTCAACGTCCAGAGAACTGGTCCCTGCTCACGACAGGGACAGGCCTCCCAAACAGCGCCGTCAGCAAAAGGACCTGGAGCAGGACGAGGAAATGCCGCCGACTCGGTTGCCCTCACCGTCCAGGAGGCCCAGGAGGACTGGTCGCCGTAATGGCTCCAGACCAAGGGCCTCGCAAAACGGTCTGCAGAAATCAAAGCAGGAGGTCAAACCAACCGCTGACCTCTTGGCCAGCATCATCTTGGCCCTGCTGAATCACGAGGATGAATTGACAGCCTTGCGATACCATCATGGATGGA